CTCGAACTCAGCGATCCTCCTGCCTCAGCCTCCCAAGTGCTGGGATCACAGGCGTGCGCCACCAGGCCCGGCCAGGGCTATTAACTTTTAGAGGGATGTGCCCTAGTCCCAGCTACTCAGGAGGCCGAGGCTGGAGGATTGTTTGAGCCCAAGAGTTGAAGATGAGCCTGGGCAGCACCTCAAAATGAGAAGAGTCAGCTAATGAGGGGGACAGAGTACAGCCCAAGTGCTTCGGGCACTGTTATACTTTGTTGTTCAAATAATTACTTATCAAGCACAGAACTCAGTGAAGCCTCACTCATATCTAGGTAGCTATCAACCTTCCACATGTCCTTAAATTCAACAAAAGACGTGTGCCACTGTTCTTTTGTTTACAAAGAATGCAGATTTTCTTCTTCTTTCAGAGTTCTGGAGGTAGTCCTTGTCACTCCACTGCCACCCTTTACAAAAGATAGTCAAGGCGGGCATCACACCTGATTTCTGGTACCTCGCAGTGTCTCAGGAAGAGATGTGGAGTGCTTATAAGGGCCTGGAACCCAAAGCCTAGCAAGGAAGGGGCCCAGTCTACTTGTTGGAGACTACAGCTCCCTTGGAGTTTACTTAGACTCTCAGAGATGGAGTGAGGAGGGGAGTGTCCAAATGTGGGCACAGTTTGGGATAATGGATGCTCTCAGTGGGTCAGCTTCAGTGTTGGGGGCCTCGGGAAGCACAAAGTCTGCTTCGGAGAATGTTGGGAAACACAAGCACAAGCACATCAGCTAAGTGTTTGTAGAAGAGCTCCCAGCCTGGGGATGTCACATGTGCTGCCTCCCTAGTGCTCAGCAGAAAGGAGGAGGGTTTCTGATCTTCATCTCGGGGTAAGTTCATTTCTGAAAGATGGATGAGATATTAAGTGGGGAAAAGAAAAGTGCAGGACAAGGGTTAGGGATGTAACTCAGTGGTAGAGCACTTGCCTAGCATGTACAAGGCCCTAAGTTCAATTTCTAGTACTAAAGAGAGAGGAGAGAGAGGAAAAGAGGAGGAGTATGGAGAGAGGGAAGGAGAGAAGAGGGAGCAAGTGAGAGAAAAGAGAAAAAGGAAAAGAAGCAGGGTAGCGCGCGCGCGCGGGTGTGTGTGTGTGTGTTTGTGCATGCAAAGGATTTGAACAGGTGCACAGAAGAACAAAGAAGCCTTCAGCAGTTGGCTCTTGGGAACAAGACTGGGATAAAGGTGGATGTGATTCTCCCTGTTCGTGTTACTCTTTTTGTTGTTTGAATATGCTTTTAACAACTGAGTGAATCACTTTCACTCATTTTTACTGTGAAATACCACTGGGGTCCACAAGAGTAATAGAAGCAACTCACTGGAACCCACCACTTAATCAGGAATAACAATGTGGGGTGTTGGGTTCGTTACTCCTGGGTGGCAGGAAGCTGTCTGTGAACCTTCTTTCCAGCTCTTTTTATACCTGGGTGCAAGGGAGATCATTACTGGAGGGGACTGGGAGGATACTGTCATGTTTTAGTTTTTAAAGTGTGTGACAGTGTCCCTGTTCGAAGACAAGTCTGGACCTGGGAACTGTACTGTCAGCTTCCCATAGCACAGACCACCTCAGGAGGCCTATGCAGCTAGGGAAAGTCTCCTGATTTTGGCATCCTCTGCCTTGAGCTTGGAGGGCTGGTGGGTTTTATGGCTTTGGACTGTGCTGGACACTTTGACAATTTGACAGGCCAGCTCTGTAGCTAAAGGGGCAGCCCTGTGCCAGGGCCTCCCTAGGAGTGGGCAGTGCCAATTTGCTGGTGCATGAGTTCATTGAGCACTTCTTGAGTGGCAGACAGGAGGTGCAGGAGAGAAGGCTGCATGCGGTGCAGATGAGGATGTGCCCGTGTAGTGCTTCGTCTCTTACTGAGGGGAGACTTTTGCAGTGCTGGGGATTAAACTCAGGATATTGTGCATGGCAGGCAAGTGCTCTGCCACAGAGGTACACCCTTAGCCTGCAAGGGAGACTTTTGTACATGAGTAAACAAACCAGATCACATCAAGAAGTGATACTTTCTGTGGTATGATGAAATAGAAATGTGATAGAGGTTGACCTAGGGCAGTGGTGCCGAACCTTTTAGAGTTGAATGCCCAAAGTGCAACCCAAAATCCACTTCTTTATCCCAAAGTGGCAACACTGCAATTAAACCTGAATACTGAGGTTTTATTTAGAAAAAACAATTCGTATATTAACATCTTTGGTCATAAAAGAAAAACAACAACATGTATTCCTTAGGTTCACCACCACTGACCTAGGGTGACCCAGAGTGGTACAGCCTCAGAGACAATGGGGTCTTTGGGGAGGCCTCATTGAACAGGGACTGGGAGTTTTTCAGGCAGGAACTAGGGCAGCGCTGTTTGTTCTGTCAGTGACACCAGCCAACAAACAGCCTCTCTGAGGCCCAAGCCTGGCTCAGGCTCATTGTCAAGTTAGCAGTCGTTCAGTGGGCAGGAGTGGGGCGGGGAGGGTTTGTTAATGATTCTCACAGTGACCCAGCAGCGCAATGTCCCTCTGGAGAATGTTGTGAGGAAACACTGAAGGTATTTATTAATCCGACTCAACCAACGGTTTCTGGAAAACAAATAGGGCATTTGGCCAACACTAGCTCTGAGCCTGCATTGTCCCTGGGCAGCTGATTATGATTACATGGCTGTTGCTATGGGCAAGGTGTCATTTTGGTCATTCTTTGGCACTTGGTGGCCTTCTCTCTTCTGCATCCCGGCTGTCCCACTGCACACCTCACTAGACGTAGAATAGTTGGAATGGGGGCCAGGGAACATTTAGGAAATGTAGAAATGCAGGGTCGGAAGTGATGGTCTCAGCCTTTACCTGCACAGGTGAGGGAACACTGTGCATGAGCAGTCCTTCAAGATCTTCTCTGTCTCTGATTCACATCAGCCCAGAGTCTGTGAGCTCCCTGGGTCTTATTAGGAAGATAGCTGATATTTTAAAGGTGCTTTTTCAGGATCAGCAAAGACAATACTCTTTTTTTTTTTCCAACTCCTTTACCACCTTTCAGAAAAGCTGAGGTAAAAATAATGGTGATGCTGTTTCTGCCAAACTGATATATTGGTCTTTGTGAGATTTAAGATCACTTACTCCCTCTGGGCTTCAGGTGTGCTCTTATCTCCATGGGAGGCCAGGCCTGAGTTGCCAGATCTGACTTTTCTTACCTCCCAGGAGAAGTTGAAGATTTTGTTTTTCAATCTTCTGGTTGTTGAAGTTTTAAATATTGACAAACAGTTTACGGGGGCGGGGAAAAATAGCAGCATGCAGAGAGACAAGTGAACAAGTCACACAGGTTTCCAGTCCAGTGTGTGATCTGACTGGAGGGTCATAAAATTCTAGGCCACGGTGGCTTTGGCTGTAATGAGAGTGACTTGTGGTTAGTGACGGCTCATGTTGGCAGATCTGAGGGGCAAGTACATATCTACAGTGGGGTGTGCGAGCTCTCCCTGGCCTCTGGGGCTGGCACCAACTGGGAGGTGGGCAGGGGGGCAGCTGTCCTGCCAGCCCCACTCATGTTCTGCCTCAGCTGGGTGGCCACACGAGGGCATGGGATAATTTTCTGCTCATCTTCTGAATCCCTGGCACAGCAGGATTCCTAAGCAGTTCCTAGAGAACAAAGTGAAGACAGCTCCCTGGGGTCAGCTAATTTGTTCCAGTAAGGTCTCTCAAGCAGGTGCAAGTCACTGGATGAATGTGCTGCCTATCCTCAGAGGGACAATTTTGTTAAAGACTTGGGTGGGGGAAAAATTTATACTAAAACAAATAGGGGCACCTGGGCCAGAATGCAAAATTCTTCACACATATCCTTAAGTCACACATGGGCACATTAAGGAAATTTAGGACTTGGGACAGAGAAGCCATTGTCATATATAGGTTTGGTATGGTAAAAAGGCCTCAGAAGCTCCAAGTTGAGGGAAAGTGTGTGGATATGGTCGGTAGTGACAGGAAATAGTTGACTGTGCCTTCTTCCTC